AGGAATGAGGGATGCTGCTGCAGGTTGGGGCCACATGCAGCCACGAAAGAGGGCGCAGATCCAGATTTAAGAGCAGAGACCTCAACAGCTCCCGTGATGGTCAATCAATCGCAAGCAAGAAAGTGCAGCCAAGTGGGCAGGTCCCCCCTCCCCTGCTAGGACTAACATTGGAGATAGAAATAAATCACTGCAGTCTGAACCTGCTGCTCCCACAACACTTCCCAGGGTCATTATCAAGAGGCAGATTTCAGAGACACTGTGCATTTGCCACTGAACAAGGCAGGAGCTCGGAGCCCTTCCCGATAGCGGCCTGCAGCTGCCTGTGGTGCTGCAAATCAACACGCCTTGACTTGAAAATACCACAAATGAATGGCAAGACCAGGACTAAATTACAGCTTTTCAGCTCCTCTGACCCTTCATCTCATCTCATATGCTGCAGCTGCCTCATCTTTTTCCAGATGTAAGATGACCTTGTGCCAAGGGAGACTTATCACTGCAGACCAGCCATGGACCTGGGAGGAGGTGCCCACCATGAAAATGAAGGTGCAGCAAGAGATGGGGAAGGCAGACAGACCATCGTGGGATGCTTCATCCTCTGCTGAATGCATGGTTAACTCAACATGCTGTCTCTGGGCTGTGCTCAGTGAGGGCCGTGCCGTAGTGAGCTGTGGGGAAAGACCATGAGGATGCTTCCCTAAAAGCCTCATGAGATGTCACTTCCTTCCTGCCCAGGTGTCCATGCCTTAACCCCAGCCTAGGCTTAATTTATGGGGGAAGCTACAGACAGAAGGACCCGCAGTCCTACCTGCTCCCCACTCGCTGGAGGGCATTTCCATACCAGACCAGATCAGGGGTCTGTTTTGCCCTGAAGCGTCTGCCTGCAGTGCAGTACATGGTGCCCTGGGAAGTATCTCAACCATGAACTGCTCTATGATCACTCATCCAGAGGTCAAGACTTCCCAACCTCCCTTGGTTACTTCTTACTCTCTTCCCTGAAGCAAGATCTGAGGGGTCGTAGCCATCGGCATTTCCATCCTAACGTATCTAGGGGCTGTATCGAGTCCTTGTCCTTGGCAGGGGAATGAGGTGGCCTGTCACAATGACAATGCCTCCAAAGAGGGTGCAGCCAAAATGACTTGCGTTGCAGCCACCCTGAGGTGCCACCTGATAATTGGAGCAAATTAAAGCTTGCTGGGATGGTGCTAGTTTAGGCAAGACACGGACTAGCCACCCCAAAATCCTCTGAGGGTTATGAGGAGCAAAGAAGTGAGGTTGCATCACCTTTCCCCCCTGCCCCCGTACCTACACCAAGCTCATGCTGGCCATTCCCAAGGTCTTGGCTTGATATTCTTCACCATCCAGGTGCCCATCATACCTCTCAAGTTTTGCAGTACAAACACAAGCCCAGCAGGATGAGGCGATAACTCATGCAGGGTGACCCCACCTGCAGTGCCAGTGGCTCAAAGCTGCAGGTTAGGTCACTGCGGGACCAATGTGCCTAGCACCTCTTGCAATAACAAGTTTCTCTATGAGCTGGGACTTGCTGGAGCCATGTTGCAAGTGCTTTGCACTCAGAGACACCCCCCCCAAGTCTTTGAAATCTTGCAGGTGTGGTGCCACCATCCCCATCTCCCGTGCCACATGGGAGAGAGCTGCCCTGCTTGGCATGCAGGCACGGGGCTGCTCAGATAAAGGCAGAGCTGACACAAAATTGGAAGTGACCCAAAGCTAGCCTTTTCTACATTTAACAAGTGTGACAAATGAGTTACCATCATCCCTTCCCCTGACAGACCATCTTATCTGCAGGAAAATGGATGCTGGTTTAATGAACCAGAGGGAATATTGAACTGACTCTGCAACATTTTTGCATGCATAAACCATCAGGGATGGAGAGGGTGGGCTATTATTAGTAACCATCATGTTTATTATTTGTTGCCCACGTTGGAGAAGGTGTGAACGCTGAAATCGCTGTGCTGCAGCAGGTCAGAGGTCCACCCAGAGCTGCCTCAGGCAAGAACAGGGTAGTGGAGGAGGATGCAGTGACCCCCTTGCTGGAGGATGGGATGATAGACCCCAGGCAGATGCTCAGCTCCATCACAGCTCTTGCCTCTGCTCCACCCGTGGCCCTGGGCTGGGAGCAGCAAATCCCCTGTGCTCCCCCCTCCTCTCTCTTAGTGCCCCCCCATTCATTTTAATGGATCCTCTCCAAAATCATGGCAGTGGGAAAGCACGCCCTACATGGTGAAAATGAGGGGGGGGAACATAGATTTCCAAACTTGCTTAGAAAAAAAAGAAGTGATTTACTCATGCAGAGGTCTTCCAAGCGCAGCACCATCAAGGTGCTTAGCTTTCATTTCATCTTACCAGTGTCAGGGAACCCCAAACTGAGACAGCAAAACTGCATCCCCGTATACTGGCAGGCAGGTACATCCCAGATTGCGCTGACTGTGCTGTTAAGTGAGAGAGAGAACTTTTTTTTTTTTTCATTTTGAGGGAACAAGCAGCAGCCAAATCCAACAGGTCCTCTAATTGCCTTTTTTTTTTTAATTTTGCAAGAAAATTCTGGAAGTTCAGGTTTTGCCAAGGCTGACACCCAGTGCAGCAGAAGGCAGGCTTTCAAGGGTTGCTTCTCTGCCTTTTCACTTCTGCCACTCACAACGCGCTCTCCAAATCACACCTTTTTTTGGCTGCGAAGTCACAGTCCCTGCTGCACTCAGCGGTGGGAAGGAAAACCGAGAGGAGGTGGTGGAAGAGAGGAACAGCCAAACACTGCTTGAGAAGCATCTTTTGAGATGGAGAAAGAAATGACGGTCATGTTGCCATGTAGAGATTTAATTGTGTTCCTTCAGGAAACTGAGCTTGACAGCTTGATGAGGATTTCTTTTTCCTTTTCTTTAACTCGAGGGGAGAAATGGGGGGGGGTGTGTGTGTGTGATTGTTCACTTTTAGTCGACGTGGTGAGATTGTGCCTAAAATACTGCTGCGGGTTTTGTGCCCCTGGTACATGAAAGGCGTTTGGGGTGAGCATGAGGAAAGGCCACCGAGACTGGTGAGGGGTGCGCTTGCCCGGGGAGATGCTGCGGGAGCGGGGCTCATTCAGCCCGGCAATGAAATGGTTTCGGGGGAACCCTCACGGCAGCCCCAGCACCTGGGGAGGAGGTCACGGAGGGAGGGAGAGCTGGAGCTGCCCAGCGAGGAGCCGTGCTGCGGGAGGCAGGCAGAGGGCCCCCTAACACCGCTCCACCGCAGCCGACAGCCCGCCGCCGCGCCGCCCATCTCCACGGCCTCTGGGCAGGCCAGGAGGCTTCGGGCCTCTTACCTCTTGCAGGGAGCAGGGGGTCCATCCCCAGCCCAAGCTCACCGCCGTGGAGATATGAGCCCCCACGCAGGGCAAGCACTGGCTTGTTGTGAAAGAAGCAGTTGGGGTGTGAGTGGCTTCTGCACCCTAAAACCAGCCAGGAGCAGGTAGAGGCAAGGTGACAGACCCAGCACCCCTGCAGGGATGTGCCCCTTTGCCCCCAGGATGCGTGCATCACGCGAGGGCCTGAGCGCCGGTACACATTTACCCTCCACACTG